CGACTACGACTACGACTACGACTACGACTACGACTACGACTACGACTAAGACTACGACTACGACTACGACTACGACTACGACTACGACTACGACTACGACTACGGCCGCGCTACGACTACGACTACGGTTACGACTACGCCTACGACTACGACTACGACTACGACTACGACCTACGACTACGACTACGACTACGACTACGACTACGACTACGACTACGACTACGACTACGACTACGACTACGACTACGACTACGACTACGACTACGACTACGACTACGACTACGACTACGACTACGACTACGACTACGACTACGACTACGACTACTACTACTACTACTACTACTACTACTACTACTACTACTACTACTACTACTACTACTACTACTACTACTACTACTACTCGGTGGAGCTCCCTGTGGGCCTACGAAACGCTGCACTGGGTGTGGCTGACGCACGCGGACGGGCTAGTGGAGATCCCGAAGGGGCACGAAACGCTGTACCGGGGTGGGGGGGACGCATGCGGGCGGTGCCACTGGGGCCTTCGGTGGAGCTCCCTACGGGCCCACGAAACGCTGTACTGGGTGGTGCTGACGAATGCGGGCGGTGCCAGTAGGGCCGTCGGTGGAGCTCCGTATGGGCCCACGAAACGCTGTACCGAGTGGTGGCTGACGCATGCGGGCGGTCCCACTGGGACCTTCGGTGGAGCTCCCTGGGGGCCCACGAAACGCTGTGCTGGGTGGTGGCTGACGCATGCGGGCGGTGCCACTGGGACCTTCGGTGGAGCCCCCTGTATCGGGGCACGAAACGCTGTGCTGGGTGGTGGCTGACGCATGCGGGCGGTGCCACTGGGGGCTTCGGTGGAGCTCCCTATGGGGCCACGAAGCGCTGTACTGGGTGGGTGAAACGCAGGGAGGAGGGAGGAGGGGAAGGAGGGGGAGGAGGAGAGGAGGAGGGACGCGGGGCGCTGTCTCTTCAAAACGAGGACCCAACACCACAGCATGGTTGGGAACAACCACGAGACCCAGGACGTCCATTGGTTTTTTGATGTGGGAACAACACGCTGCCCATAGCAAAACCATCGAAGCCCAAGACATCAAGGGCACCCTGGAGGCAAGCAGGGTGTTTCTAGGCATGGTTTTCACTGTAGATCTGGGGAACGGCCCGAAAATCTGGGCCTAAGCTGGTCCTTCTCTCAGCGCCTCGAAGAAGGTACTCTACATGCGCCACCCGTATGTACACCCGCATTCGCAGCAAAGGGAAATCTGGCCCCGCAGGAAGAGCGACGGACCCACTCGCCCCGCGAGGGTAGACGCTCCCAGAGGCTGCTCGTGCCTCGCAAGCCACTTGGGGAACACTTTGCTTCCGAAACGGTTCACAATTGAGTCGCGTTTGACTTAGAAATGCCTGGCAATGTGTCGACTAATGAAACGCACATCTTCTCACAACGACTCACAATTGAGTCTGAATAGGCCCAGTGTTGCTTCGGAACTCGTGCACAACGGAATCACAGTTTATTCAACTTCGTTCACCATTGATTCACCACCTATCCACGGTCGTCTCACGAACGCGTCGCGAATCACTCCGAACATCTTCACTCGAACCACCATGTGTTCATGACGTGCTCACACCAGGACTCGGCGGCGAGCCCAGGGGGGAATTCAGAGGGGGCGAGCCTTCTCAGAAGGCTCGGAAGGCCTCGGGCCTTCTGAACAGTTTTCTTAAGCTTTCCCCGAAAACAGCAAGTAGCCTGGCGAAAGACCCAACCATATGCAGTTGTGGGCACCGTCTTTGGATGGACCGCATTCGGTGGAGCTCCCTATGGGCCCACGAAACGTGTGAGGGGTGCGCCAAATGGGCACGGTGGCCGCATGCGAGCGCAGCCAGTGGGACCTTCGGTGGAGCTCCCTTTGGGGCCGCGCGGTGGGCGCACGCGAGCTCTTGCACCTGGGCCTTCGGTGGAGCTCCTTATCGGGCCACGAAGCGTGTGAGGGATGTGCCGTAGTGGGCGGGGTGGCGCCATGCGAGCACAGCCACTGGGGCCTTCGGTGGAGCTCCCTCCCCATGGGGCCATGACACGTGTGAGAGGTGTGCCAAAATGGGTGCGGTGGCCGCATGCGAGCGCTGGCATGTAAGCCTCCGGTGGAGTTCCCTGTGGGGTCACGAAACGTGTGCGTGGTGTGCCCAAATTGATGCGGCGGCCGCATGCGAGCGAAGCCACTGGGGCTTTCGGTGGAGTTCCTTTATTTGGCCACGAAACGTGTGAGGGGTGTGCCACAGTGGGTGCGGCAGCCGGATGCGAGCGCAGCCACTGGGGTCTTCGGTGGAGGTCCCTATGGGGCCATGAAACGTGTGAGTGGTGTGCCGACATGGATGCGGCGCGGCTCCGCCATGTGGACCCTGCCACTGGGGCCTTCGGTGGAGCGCTCCCTATGGGGCCACGAAGCGTGTGAGGGGTGTGCCACAGTGGGTGCGGTGGCCGCATGCGAGCGCAGCCACTGGGGCCTTCGGTAGAGGTCCCCATGGGGCCACGAAAAAAATGTGAAAGGCGTGCCGAGATGGGCGCGGTGGCGCCATGCGAGCGCAGCCACTGGGGCCTTCGGTGGAGCTCCCTGTGGGGCCACGAAACGTGTGAGGGGTGTGCTGACATGGGTGCGGTGGCGCCATTGGAGCGCAATCACGGGGGCTTTCGGTGGAGCCCCCTATGGGGCCACAAAGCGTGAGAGGTGTGCCGACATGGGCGCGGTTGAGCCATACGAGCGCAGCCGCTGGGGCCTTCGGTGGAGTTCACTAAGGGGCCACGAAGCGTGTGAGGGGTGTGCCACAGTGGGTGCGGTGGCCGCATGCGAGCGAAGCCACTGGGGCTTTCGGTGGAGTTCCTTTATTTGGCCACGAAACGTGTGAGGGGCGTGCCGAAATGGGCGCGGTGGCGCCATGCGAGCGCAGCCACTGGGGCCTTCGGTGGAGCTCCCTATTGGGCCACGAAGCGTGAGGAGTGTGCTGACATGGTGGACATGCGGAGAGCAGAGGCAGGGATGGGAGGAGGAGGAGGAGGAGGAGGAGGAGGAGGAGGAGGAAGGAGGAGGAGAGGAGAGGAGAGGAGGAGAGGAGAGGAGAGAGGAGAGGAGAGGAGAGGAGAGGAGAGGAGAGGAGAGGAGGAGGGAAGAGGAGACGCAGGGCACTGTCTCTTCAGAACGAGGATCCAACACCACATGATGGTTGGGAAAAACTTCTCAGAAGGCGCGAGGGCTTCTGAGAAGTCCCGCCGCCTTCTGAGAAGGCCTGCCCCCTCTCACTCCCCCACTGGGCTCGCCGCCGAGGAACACTCTTGACACCCTGGCGCGACCACGCCGCTCCACCGCGCTGCTTCTACTATGCGTGCTGGTCAAACGCCAAATTCGCCAGGCCACGCCACCGCGCGCAGCTTCGCACGCACAGCATGCCACGCAGGAAACGAGAGCAAAACTTGAGGCTCCATTCCCCAGTTGAGGGGCCTCACAAACATGGCACACCCTCAACATCCCTTCTAAATCGATACCTCCTTGCTGAAGCCCCAAGTCGTCCTCTCGTCCCCCCCCCCTATTCCTCACCCTACCCCTGGCATCGATAGTGCCCGCCATCCCCCTCCTGCAACTATCTGATGCAAACTGCAGCTTCCCCTGCGGTGCCGGGATCGGGGAATCGTTCAAGTCGCCCAATCCTGGCTCACCGACCGGCTCAACGGCAAATCCGCATCCGTCGACGCGGTCAACTGCCGGTCTGCTGGTCGGTCGAGCTTGAAGGGTTCGCCGGTCATGTGCCCGCGGCGCTGCGCACGCGCGCCCCGGAGGCGCCGAGGCGGACACTCTCCGCTGCCGTGCTGGCCGCGGGGCGCGCCTGGCCAGCATAAAACGCTTCGAGCCGCAGCGGCAGCGGGGCACCGATCGTCATACCTCTCTTCCCCCTCCTGCTCATCCTCTTCATGGTTTCGATGATGCGGCTAATGCGTCCCCTACCTGTTTTCTCTGTTTTCCTGTCTTCCGTATCTTCCTGTTTCGGAGCGCTGAACTGCTGCATCGTGCGCGCAGCGGGCGAGTACTGTTGCGCGCCTGCACAGTGATTACTTTCTACAACACGGAAAACGCTATTCGATGATCATCGGAGCGCGCCGCCGAACTCAGCCAAACAGCGTGAGATCCTTCGCTCGAACATGCTGCACGTGTTGGCTAGCTTGCTGACATCCGCATCAAGGCGCTCTGCTCTGTTCACACACGTGTCAGTCCGCATCTAGTCCGCTGCCTCTGTCGGATTCGTCGTGCGCGCCTGCACCAGACAGGCAAAGGCATGGGGGGAGGGGGAACGGAAGGGAGGAGAGATGCGAGGCCAATTTGTATACACCACCACCGCCCGCAGCAGTATTTTTTCGCAAACAGGGTTAGGGGCAGGGTCATGCCATACGCATCGTATATGATTATCGATCTTGGTGGTGGTAGTCAGATACTGTGCTCGGAAGAGAGGCGGACGAGATCTGGGAAACGGGGGAGATCGAGAAGGAATACAGCCGCCGTGCTACCACGGGGAACACCGAACAACGGCGGCAACCCTCGGCAACGAAGAGGCCCGGCCGGCCCAGAGCTGGGGAGCGGCCCGAGAACCAGAGCCCCTGCCGAATCCAGGGTGGTCCTTGCGTCAGCATGCTGCTGCGCTTTGAGAAGTTGAACAGGCACAGATAGAACGTGGCAGTCAATCGTCGATGGCATGTCTCCGTGATCGTGTCTGCCCAGAGCGCTTACGGCGCCGAGTCCCGAGTTCTTCTGGGCTGCCGGGCAGTTCCTGGCAGGTGGGCGAACCAGCACGATCGTTGCAACTGCTTGGACTTGCCATCGCTCGGACTCCCATTCCTGGTGCGTTGTCTGGCTTCGCGCGTGCTTTTTCCGAAAGTGCTTCAAGATGCCCCACCATGCCCCGGATGTTGCGGCGCTGGCCTTACCGAAACAGAAGGCACACGTCTGAGCGATGCCAAGTGGAGTAGGAGAACAACGCGGCAACGGGCAGGGCGGCACCCGCCGACTCCGAGGCGCCCCCCAACCCCCCGCAGGGTGCCCCCCGTGAGCCGCACTCGCGACCTGAGCAGATAGTAGCAGGTCCGGAACACCTACATCGATCCTGGTCAGGCTCGTCATGGGCCCAGGGTCGGTGTACATGCGCTCCTGCCTTGAGCACGAAGGCATATACACCGATCCTGGGCCCAGGAAAGGCCTGGCCAGCCTCGGGGGTAGCTGTATGGTTGGTGTCTCCCGAAGGCAACCCAAATCGCACCAGCCCTCTGTCCGTGAGTGATTCAAAGCGTTTCTTCTTCCAACCCCCTTCTTCCCCTTCGGGGAGGGTTTTACTCCTCCACCTACCCCCTGCCCCTGAACCTGGACGGGGCGCTTCGCGAGGGGTTTGAGCGTCCAAGAGGGCCTCGGCGAGAAAGTCACAACCATTCATGGTACTAAGGTGTTGGCCACATCTTGGCTACCTGGGGGGGAACCCAATCAATCAAGGAGCCCCCCTCCTTTGATCGATCTCCTCCAAGATGGCCCCCGATGCTCTCAAGGGCCCTCCTTCGATCGAGCTGCTCCAAGATGGCCCGAAGATGGTCCCCGAGGCTCCTCAGGGTGCCCCGAGAGGTGCACGGGATGCCCCAAGAGGCCCCCAAGAGGCTCCCAAGAGACCCCCAAGACGCCCCAGGAGGCCCCCCAGAGGCACCCATGACGCCCTACGAGGCCTCGGCGAGAAGGCCTAACTCATTGATGTTATCCAGGTTTTGGCCGCGGTTTGGCCTCCTGGGGGGGGAGACCTTTAGTAAGGAGCCCCCCTTCCTTTGATCGATCTCTCGGAAGATGGCCCCAAGATGCCCCCCGAGGCTCCCAAGGGTGCCCCAAGACGGCCCCAAGAGGTGGCCAGGAGGCCCCAGGAGGCCCCCACGATTCCCCAAGATGCCCCCCAAGAGGCTCCCAAGAGACCCCCAAGATGCTCCAAGAGGCCTCCCAGAGGCACCCAAGACGTCCCAAGAGGCCCCCAAGACGCACCAAGAGGACTCCAAACAGATCTCGAGACATCCGAAGCGACTCCGAGAGGTGCCCAAGAGGCCTCTGGCATTTCTGCTCGCCCTTCTCCTCCTCCTCCTACTTCTGCTCGTCCTCTTCCTCCTCCTCCTTCTCCTTCTCCTACTCCTCCTCCTCTTCCTCATCCGCCTGTTCCTCCTCCTTCCTCGTCCCTCCCCCCTCTCCCTCCTCCTCCTCCTCCTCCTACTCCTCCTCCTCCTCCTCCTCTTGCTCCTCCTCCGATTCCACCTCCATTATCCCCTGCTTAGGGTACGACGTCTTACCCAACCCGTTATTCCATCGCATTCACTCCACATCCTGATCAGGGCAACTCGCCTGGGCATCGCTTCTGGATGGGCTGATGGGATTGCGCGAAGCATTTAGAGTTGAAGTATAGCCATAATTCAGTATCCCCAAACAGCGCAGCTCAAGCCAAGGTGGCTCCCAAGAGTGTTCGCGCGTCCTCCTGTTCCTGATTTGCCTGCGCCGTCGGCTTCGTCGTCGAACTTGTTGTTATCGTCGTCGTCCTCCTCCTCCTCCTCATATCTTCGTGTCCACGTCATTATCCTTATCGCCCTCGCCCACCCCCCTTCCACTACACCTCAGCCTCCTCCTCCTCCTCCTCCTGAGTTGCCCTGGGCTCGGCCAAGATCGAGGCCCTCGGTGAGCCCTGCCCCACGAAGCCCCCTAATCCTGCCCGCCGGCGAGCCAGGGACTGGCTCTCGAAGGCAAGCACCCAACAACTGGGATCAGGCTCGTCCAGTCTTATATAGTATTATATAGTCGTCGTTGCGTTCTCGGATGCTTCGCCGTTCTATGCTGCGTCCTGCGTCCTGCGTCATCCTCCTCCTCCTCTTCTCCCTCTTCCTCCCACTCCCCCCCATACGAATCCTCATCCTCCTTGTGCTATTCCTCTTCTCGTTTTCCTCCTCCTCCTCCTCCTCCTCCTCCTCCTCTTGCCCCATCCTTTTCCATTGAAAGAAAACTCCTCCCTGTCGCACCCCGAGGCGTGTCGGTAGAGCGGGCCAGGCGTTTCGCCTGAGACTTCACCGCAATGTATGATCCTGGAGCTTAGACGTTGCGACAGTTTCCTGCATGGAGGGCGTTTTTTGTATTTTGAAAATGTAGCTCTCGCCTTTGCACCGCGCATATTCGACTTCAAAGTTTGCAAGAGCTTTTCACGGATGGAGGACAGGCCGTTGTCACAATGTGGTTCTCGCCTCAGCGCCGCGCACATTCCTTTTGGAAGTTTGCAAGAGCTTCACGGATGGAGAGCGATGTCTTTTCAAAATGTTGGTTTCGCCTTGGCGCCGCGCAAACTCGTCTTAAACATTTACAGCCGTTCCAAGAATTACTATGGCTGGCATCCCCTAAATGGTGTTTGCGGCACGGTTTAAAGTGTCCGGGCCAACAGTCACGTTGATTCGGCGCGGTGTTGAAATCCCAGGAATGGTGTTCGAACACCATTCAGGATCGTCAGGACTCAACAGAAACGTTGGTTTGCGGCGTTGAAGTCCAAGGAAGCTTGTAGGGACATCTGACGAGGGAACTTAGAGGGAGGTTGATTGAAACATCGTTGGTGCGTCTGGGGTTTGCACTGGTCCTCCTCCTCCTCCTCCTCCTCCTCCTCCTCCTCCGTATCCTTTACCTCCTCGCCGCGTTCCTTGCGCAGCATGTCGAAACGCAGAGTTGCGAGGATGTCTCAGGCGGCGCCCAGACCCCTCCCAGAGCACAGCTCGACAACAGAAGAGTGATGAAATGGTTCGTTTGGGTCTGACCCCTCCTCCCTCCTTCCTCCCTTCTCTTGGAGCCTGGAATGTCAAGGATGTTTCAAGCGAGACGGGCTGGACCACCTCGCGCGAAGCATCTTGGAGCCTCGAATCCCACCAGCCCTTTGGAGCGTGAGTGGTCTAGCGAGGTTCCTTTTCCAACCCCGTTATTCCCCTTCGGGGATGGGCCCAGGCGACCGGCAGCCAAACAGGAATAATGCCGACCCAATAAAGCACTATGCCTCAATATTCGGAGCATACGCAGCCAATCCGATGCGCCACCCCCCCACCATCCCTGTAAAAAACCATACTACACTTTGGGGCAAAGTCTTGAGTCATATTCGTGAGGCCCGCGAGCACCTCGTCTTGTTTCTTAACAGGGACGGCGGGGGTGTCAGCAGATTGCCCGCTGCGCGCAGGGCCACCATCCCTGTCAAAAAACAATGCAAGATGCACCTCGCGGCTGAATCTGGATCATGCGCGGCCACCCCGCGATCACTGTCAAGTGGTGTTTGACAGGGACGGCGGGGGTGGTGGCGTATGGCCTGCTGTGCGCAGGCCCACCAGACACAATGATGGGCATTGGTTTTCGACAAGGATGGTGGGGGCCGACATGCTTCCCGATGCGTGCTGTCACGTGCGCAGGCGCACCTGACACACTCTGCACGTGCCCCGAACGTGGCGCACCTGGCCCGGCTGGAGTATGCGGCACACCTGGCGCACGTGAAGCACGTGGCGCATCTGGCGCAACAGGCGTGCATGGCACGCTCGGGCCCCAGGGGTGCCTGGCGCACGTGGCGCGCCTGGCACGCGTGGCGCACCTCGCCCTAGCTTCGTGCACATGCGGTCGGTTTGGGTTCCCAATAGCTGCCCATCCAAAGACGGCCGCTGAACATGCTGAGGCTCGGGTGTTACTGATGTGCTGGGAGGGCGGGTGGGAGTGAGCTAGACGGCTTGCTATCTAGGAGGGT